TCTATTATATATAACAATTAATAACCGAGTTAAATAAAACTAAGAATAAGGTTTAACAACAAAAATTTAGTTTTGATCGCATGAGATAATACAATGGTATTTTTTAAATAATTAAGTAATGGATGCCAGTTTTCAGGCTCAAAAAAACCGATTGGTTTTGAATCCGACATTACCAAAGAAAATTTATGGAATAAATAAGGGGAAATTGGTTTTTGTTTTGAGAATCCATGTCTAATACGTGTCGGACACGGACATAGCACCCAAAACGCCGTGTCCGAGCAACCTAGATGATCTTGCTTTTATTCTTATATGTTGATGGGTGAATGTCTACCAAGTGGTCTAGAACTCAAAAGGATCCTATGAATCAAGTAATACTTCAGGTAGTCTAGTGAAACAAATCTAAATATAAAATTCAACTTAATCGTCATCAATAGTTATTTCAGATATTGCTGTACTGAACATTATGTTCTCTACTTCTTTTAACCCATCCTTTTAAAAAAGACCAAGGGATTACTATCTCCAAATGAGGAGTTAAACTGAACTCTCCACGTGTTTGTTTTTAGTTCTTGTCAGTTCTTGAACTACAAGGAAAATTGTTGTTACATTCTTTTTTGTAGATGCAAGGCATATGAAAATCAAGTAGGTTTATCTCTCAACTAGCATAGATTGCTTTCTGTTGTCTTTTAGAACAGAGTTAATTGCACATAGACCCTTTATAGTGTATCACACTTTTGAACTTTTCTCCATACAATTTGATTTTAAAAAATAACATTAGCGGTCTACAACACTCTTCCACAAACAACATTTTGATTTTTGAAATAGAATGTGATTCCTAACAATCTAAATAGAACATGATTTCTTTTCTATTGCAAGTTTGCACGGTCTTTAAGAATGGAGCTAATTTGGTCTTCTTGTTGTTGTTTCAGGTGATTCAAAACCTCGCAAAGCAGGACTTCTTGAACCAAGGAGAGCAAGCTACAATGAGAAATGCAAAGTAAAAAGTGTGTAAGTATTAGAAATAAACTCTCATTTGAATTAGATGTAAAAGTTTTACAGAAACTAGTACGATAGCAATTTAGGGGCTGTTTGGTTGGTTTCCTAAAAACAAAAAAAAAGGAAATCGGTACAAGGAAATCAATAAAATAATATTTTTATCCATTTCCATCCCTAAAACTCACCCACAACATCTAATAAAATATTATTTTTATCCTCCAACTCATCTCATTTCATCTCCTTTCTTACTTTTAAAAATAAACCAAACACAAGAAATGTGTCACATCATCCAACTCATCACATCTCATCTTATCCCATTTTTAAAAATCACACACATCATCCAATAATATTGTGACAACTCATCTCATCTCATTAAACCTTCCATTCCATCCATTTCCTAAAAAAAAACAAGAAATTGATTTTCTTAAGTATGTGTCACATCATCCAACAATATACCTCCAACTCATCTCATCTCATCTATTTCCTTATTTTTAAAAATGAACCAAACACAAACAACCTCAAAACATCATCCAATAATATACCTTCAATTCATTTCCTTATTTTTTTAACCAACCAAACAACCTCAAAACAAGTTTTTTTAAAAAATCACTCACATCATCCAATAATAAGGTGACAACTCATCTCATCTCATCTCCTATTCTATAATTTTCTTCTTTTTTAACCTAACCAAACAACCTCAAAACAATTATTATAGGAAATAGGTTTCCTATTCTTTAATTTCCAAGTTTTTTTTTGCGAAACGAACGAACCCTTAAGCATGGCACTGTATAATGGGGAATTATTAATTCTTATTGGTTTGTATTTGTTGGATATTTTGGACTTTAGTTGAATTGTTATATGCAATATTTAAAGTTTATACTTTGTTTGTTGTTATAGTTAGTGATGGATGAGTTTATAAAGTTTTATTAATGAATGATTTGAGTCATTTTTATGGTGATTATTAGGTTAACTATTGATATTTCTGCATTTGAGGTTTTAAGATATTTTATCTATATGTCAAGTTTGTTAGATATCCGATATACTATTTTAAGCATTTATTTGCACCAATTTTGATGCATAACTTGTGTAAATTTATTATCTTATTTCTAAATTATCTTCGAGCTACAATTTTAGTTTAGAAATTCAAATTCTACTAGTTGACAAACTACAATTTTAGCATAGAAATTAGAATTCTACTAGTTCACAAACAACCCAATTGAAATTTTCAAAATTGAAATTCTAAAGTTTGTCAAACATGAATTTCAAATTGAATTCTGGAATTTAAATTTGGATGTTTTCCAAACGAATGAATTGAATTTGAAATTCTGGATTTCAAATTTTAGAATTCAATTCTGGGATTTGAAATCAAATCCTCGAATCCAAACGCAACCTTACATTAATCGAATAGTCTTTACATTCAACATTCATAAAAGAAATTGAATTTAATATGGTGACTATTTGATTTATTTGATTATCAAATACCAGTTTTCAATGAATTCAGTTCATAAAGGGTCTGCATAGAGTCAATCGGATTAGGGGGTTATAAGCTACACTACTAGTATAAACTGCGATCTCCACCATCCTTAGGGGTGCCAAACGGTTCGGAACCGATTCGCATCCGTATCCAAACGGATGCAGATATGATAAGCTATTTTTAAAAGAAAAAATACATTAGAGACCCAAAAACATGGGATCCTACATGGGAGAGGTGAAGTGTCGGCTCTCTGTCCCATGATGCATTATCATGAACAGTGTATCATGGAACATGGAGCTGACATCTCACATGTCCCATGTAGGGTCTCATGTTTTTGGGTCCTTGTAGCACCACCCGTTTGCAAATACGGATATCCACAATTTAATAAACATAAGGATTCAGGTCGTATCTAAAGTTACAAACCTGTAACCGATAACCCAAAACCCAACTAAAAATTCTAGCCTCTACTATGTGATATCCACTAAGTGATATCCAGCCTCCACTTAATTTTTCTACAGAGCTACTCACCAACACTGTCTCGTCTTCGGCCCACGTCCCGTCCGTTTCGGTCATATTGGTCGTCTCGGCCGTGGCGCCTTCATGTCCCGCCTGCCTCACTCCAGTTCGCGTCTTTCGGTCCAGTTCCGCATCGCTTCCACTCCGCCATTTCGTCTTGAGTTCGTCCGCGTCTTTCGCCGTTATGTCTGGTTCTATGAGCACAAACCGCTTCGCCCCGTTTCGCCCGCCTCGTCTAGTTAGACCGCCTCGTCTTCGCCGCTCACGTCGTCTTTGCCAGATCCCGCCTCGTCTTTGGCCAGTTCTCTAAAACTGACAGCTTTTTTGTTACATAAGGTCTAATTGAAGGTCATCATGTTCTTGTTAACAATTCGATCTTTGACTTTGTGTTTAGTAATGGCAAATGTGGATTATAAATTGGTCTGGTATTAATTTCTACAGGTTTCTTCTAATTATGTGAGGATATACTCTGATATAGGAGATCTACACGACCGAGACGACATCAGCGGATGACGACTCGACATCTCATCTCAACTCGAGTCGAGTCGACAGTCAAGACGACTAAATAGATGGACGAGATGAGACTCGACTCAAACCAGCCTAGACGAATAGACCACTCGAGGCGACGAGTAGAGATGATGACTCGAGTCGAAGCAACCCAACTGAGACCCCAGTCGACAGGACGAGATCCCAGACGAGACCCCACCAAGACCCCAACCGAGATCCCAGTCGACAGGATGGAACGACAAACCCCAGTAGACACGAAGGGCGGTGTTAGTCGACACATGCTAGTCGACACGAAGGGCAGTACTACTCGACATACTTAGTCGTCCCAGACGAGACCCCACCAAGACCCCAACCGAGATCCCAGTCGACAGGATGGAACGACACACCCCAGTAGACACGAAGGGCGGTGTTAGTCGACACATGCTAGTCGACACGAAGGGCAGTACTACTCGACATACTTAGTCGACTTATGTCCAGTCGACACGAAAGACGATACTACTCGACACGCCTCGTTTCGACTCAACAAACAGAATAGGAAAGGAGTTTGTTTTGGTTATTTCCTTTTAGGATTAGAGTTTCTTTTTGATTAGGGTTAGGATAGGTTTAGTTGGCTATAAATATTAATTTCTTTTGTAAATCTAAAATTAACTTTTCAGTTATTCTATTAAGAGAACTTTTTTTGTTTTTGATCTCAAACTTGAGAAACTTAGAGCTTGTGGATTCAAGCTCGTGAAATACCTGCTTTGTCAGGGCTCGTCGGTATCAGAACGATATCCGATCGGCCTCCCCGTTCTATGTCTACGTCATACTCTGGTTTGCTTGTTTGTAACTTATCTATTGTAGCACTTTCTTTTCTAGCTTCTATTGTTTATTGGGACCTTGAAGTGATTAAAATGATTGTTTTCAATAATATTAGTAGTATTTTTCTTAGAATTTTTTTATGAGTATGTACACGGAAAAGTTCTACATTTTCCCATAACGTTATATGTTTTTCTGTTCAAGAATAATGGGAATGAGCTGCTCCAGACTTTATGATGAGCTCATAACTTGTGAATTGATATGATATGTGATTCTTTAATTAGAAGAACTGCTACCTGTGAGCTACACACAGCTGTTCAATGCCCTAGCCCCAGACTTAGGAAGCCTACAACCACATACATTTACTCATTTGGTTGTAATTTATGCATAGGTGTACTAATTCATATTCGATTCATATCCATTTGTCGAATATCCGTTTATATCCGTGATCATATCCGATCCGATTCTCAAATATCCGAACCGTATCCGTTTCCGATGAGTGCAGATATGGTTAATGTTTTTTCTTACCGAAAATAATCGTTATCCGTATCCGTTTATAAAAAGTGGATATGAATATGATAAGTGTCATATTCGAATCGTATCCGCTTCGATATTTAATTGAAATCTTTTTTTATCGCATTAATTGGAATCTTTTTTTATCGCAATTTAATTGGAATCTTTAATTAAATTAAAAATTTAATCTCACACCAAAAACCCCAACAAAACCCACATCAAACCTGTTTACCGCCGCTGTGAAAAAACCCCAATTTTCTAGGGCTAAGGCAACTCGACGTTGATGTTGGCGATTTCGGGCGACGGCAGCAGTTTCAATCGACAGCGGCGATTGGGTGTTAGGTGATGACAGTGGAATTCAATCTTATTCTATTTTGATTACCGGCGGTTCGATTTCGAGTGACGGCGAGGGTTCAATTTCAGGTGATGACGGTTGTTCAATTTTTATTCCCCTTTTATGAAGATATATTTTTGTATAATAGTGATATATTCTTCTTCCACTAAACAAGATTTTCATTCATATTTGAAAATGAAAAACATCAGACGAGAAAACAACCTTTCTTCTACCAAATTTCCAAGAGATTTTCTGCGTATTATAATATTGTTGCGGTTATTCTCACCACCATAGAGAAATGCCTGTAGAAAATGTATTAGTTATTCGTTGCCCTTATTTTGTTTGTAGAAATGCACCAATAGCTTCGAGAATTCAAATATGAACACCTCATGGTTATGTTCTATTTTCTCTGTGATAGTTTGAGCAGAATATACTAATACAAAGAAATTATACCTTACAATTGCAGCTTATATTCTGAAATATAGTAAATTTTGTGTACTAGAAAGGCTTGTGGTGTTCTAAATGGATCTTGCTCCTTTCAAGCTGGACATTGATGAGCTTTTGGATGATTTTGCGAAGGTACTGAAATGTTTCTTTGTTCAGGTCTAATATATATATATTTTTCATATCAGAGTTTATCGGTAATTGTCGAGGGAAACTGATACCATAATTGGGTTACAGGAAGAGTTAATGACATTGGCAGACATGAAGAAGTTGTGGGCCGCTAAGAAGTTTTCCTATATCTACGAAGCTAGGCCTAGGTCCAAGTCGGCATTCTTTATGCAATCCCTATTTGCCCATGCCATAGGTAAGTCGTGGTAACTATTCTTGGTTTCATTTGTGATTTACTGGTATGATGAATTCAGGTGGTGTTGTTGAAAAATTTAGAAGTTTTTGTTATGGGTTTCCTATTTTATGGCTTTTATTGAGGTTAAGTTGTTCATGCAGGTCATATGGTTTCTGAAGCTGCTCTATCACGAAGATTGGGCGGGCTCTACTGCCTCTACTGTCTTTATGAGACACAGCCATACAAGCCTGCCTTCAAGATTTATTTGTCTCTTAGTATGCTTAGCTGCACTGTATAGTTATTTTCTTGAAAAAAGTCAGAATTTCATGCTTATAGTTATGACTCGTCCACACCGCAATATTATCTCAAAATATTCTGACTAATTTTATAGTTTGGTAAAAAATTCTAATATTTTTTGTCGTGTATGTTTTTCTACAATCAACTTCTGACTACTGAGTAAGCGTCATCCTAGCTATGTGCTGGTTCGGATCATGAATTTTCGCCTTCTTTAAGTGAGATAATTTTTTTTCCATATTAGTTAACTGCACAAATAAATTACATCCCTTATCAGGAATATGATGGTTAAGAGCTTTTGCATTTTCTTCGATGTTTAAATCATGCATACAATATTTTTGCATTGTCGTTTTGTTAAAGATACCAACTTTTTAGCCTGTATTTTGCTTATAATCTGTCCATTATGTTTCTTTCCTCTTAACAGGAGAGCTGAAGAGGCTCAAAACCCTTGTTATTGATGCAAAACAAAGTAATATAGGAGTCGTAACAGCTCTCGTGAAAAGAATGCTCGACAAGAATATGTTTCTATTTGGCTTTGTTGATATTGCTGGGGGTTCTATCACACAGAGTGTGGAGGAAATCACAAAGTTACAGAACAGACGTGTTCAAATTGCATATGAAAAGTATCATTCTCTCCCTCACGCACACAAGCACATAAGCAAGGACACAGTGCAGTATTACACTATTACTTCAAATTGTATTAATCTAACAGTGTCAACTGATTCTTTATTTTTATTGTTGCAGATTATTGTCAAATACTAGAATTGAGGAGTTTCTACATATGGACCTTGTAATCTCTCTCTCTCTCTCTCTCTCTCTCTCTCTCTCTCTCTCTCTCCTCTCTCTCTCTCTCTCTCTCTCTCTCTCTCTCTCTCTCTCATCTCAAATATTATTAAACTCTATTGTTTAAAAAAAACCTATTTTCCTTATGCGACTACTGGGTCACCAGACTCTACCAACATTTATAGGAACTTGGGAGGCTACTATTCTTCTAGTTATTCTCTTTCCACGATGCACTCTTCCCGAAGAGAAGTGATGAGCACTTAATATTATGTAATTCCAGATTCTATATGAAATGATTGTGTGACTTTTTGGCTGGTAATAGAAACAAGTTTAATTCTTTTGTGGAGCTTTCTGGACTCTAGTCAAGCTCTTAAAAGTGATTCGTCAAAGCGTGTTTCTTTTTAATGGTGGAAGGCTTTAGTGATGATGAGGAGACTATGTGACTTTCCTAGGGTGCTATGGTCACTTTGAAGCTCCAAATGCGTACATCTTTGAGATTTTCTTGTGATTTGATTTTTCCGCTTTATTTAGCTGACTACTGCTCTAATAAGTCAACTTTATCTTGATGGAATTAACCGTTGGTCAATTTTATGCATAGCATTACCGTGGCATCTCAAGTGTGAACCAATTATCAGTTCATAATCTTCAATTCTGTTTGAAGAAAGTCGTCCATCACTTACTAGCAGGAGAAAGAACTTATTACCTCGAAACTGAGGCCATTTCATTTTGAGCTAGATCTCCGAATTTGTTTTTTAAATTTTCAGATGTGCCAGTTTCATGTGAACTTGCTTTTATTAGTTAGCTCCACTCCCCACCCACCCTTGAATCTTTAAAGTATGAATGTATTGTGCAACTGACTTGTCTTCTGTTTCCCTTAATGTATTTCTTGCGTATGATTTAATGCTCTAACCCTAATTTTTTTTTCAGGATACAGAACTTGATCTGGAAGCACTGAAGAAAATGTCGGCAGAGTATGCAGAAGCAAAGGAATCAGCTATCAGAGGTAAACTCACCAACAACAAACATACACGCACCAAATATAGAAGAACATCAACCCATGCATGTACACAATAAAAATTAGAAAAATGGAAGGGAATGCTGACTGATTTAAATGAAAATATCAACAACATACTTAAATATTTCTTTCCCCCTTTATATCCGCCAGTGGAGAAACAGTATTCACTATTCAGATATCTTATCTTAAAATAATTGTGACAAAGGCTTCATTACTATATTTCGTTCTGCTATTTGATAACATCATATAGTATTCCCAAGAATGTAGTGTCTAAAATCTGGTGCTTAGTACTTCAAATATAGGATATACATGCAGAAAACTGTCCTTTTGGAGACCAATACTTTGACAAGGATCAACAGATCAAACTCCTTGCCTGGATAGTGACGACTAGGTCGTACATTGCCTATAGCTTTATTTAGGCAGGATAGATCCTTATATCAGAATATTAATACTGGCAGATAAGTCACATATGTGTATATCAGTTAGAGCCCTAAGGTGATACTCCTCTTTGCATCTCACAAAATCACGAGGGAATAAGACATACTGCATGTTATAAGACACCCACAACTCAAGTAAGGGGATTTCTAGTCGAAGATGTCACAAAGTGAAATTTGCTTGGCGTGGTAACCAGATCAACATAACAGTGACCTTTGTAGACTTCAGTCTACATCATGATTTATTTTCTTCAAAAAGTTAGGAGAACAATTATCGCTATGCTGTTTAATCTTCATGATTCTTGGAAAAATCACACAAAAGCATATTCTCATACAATGTTGATGACTAAATTTTGTTTCTTACACATTATTTTCTTGCGCAAATCATCATAGACTGCATTCCTTTTTTATTTTTTTTAACTCATATCTTTGTCCTTTGGTTCTTGTGGCAGAAGCTAGTGAAACTGTAAATGTCGAGGATATCAAACACATTGCGGAAAATAAGAAACTTGTAGGCAACATGGTAGAGGACATAGTGAAAGAATGGGATGTGCAGAAGGAAGAGTTCTATAAACAAACAGGCATCAGTAGCCAAAAAGAGATGGTGCCTGTTGATGAATTCGAAGAGTTGGAACAACTTCTGAATGAATGAACTTGCTGGCATTTTATGTCCGCGGGATGAACAGGTATTACTGTATAAATTTATTTTTTGGGGTTGTGGATCGGTATAGGTATGAACAGATGTTGATGAGGCGCTTGGTTCTGATATGTGTCATCATTTACACCCTTAATCATGTACATTTCTTCTATTTATGAATCTGAGAAAATTATGTCTTATGCTTTTTGAAGAAAGTTTTTTTTGGTGTAGTTTGTTTACTTAAATCTAGTATAAATATCTGAATAGCTATTCTTTACATACTTGCCTACTTGTACATAGTGTGATAATAACTTGATACCTACAGTTTTGGTGTACAGTAATCATTGAGTTGGTGATGAACGTTCGTAGGAAAACCTATTAGCAGCAGACATTCAACTTTTTTTTTTCGAGGAACGTATACAGTCAACTTGCCCACACGATATTTCAAATATTTGTGCAATAGGCTTTATTTGATGCAATTCTTGCGACGTCGTGAAGAAAGCTCACTCCCATTGATAATAGTCTTATGAAACTCCTGCGGTCTCTGACATATAATGTGAGAAGGCGTGCTTTTGTTTGGTTCACCAAGAGAGGAAACTTTCTGTCATCGAGAACTTCTTTGTTTTCATAGATTCTCTTGCAGTAGTTTTGAACGTTCTCTTGGGCATTACATTTTTTTTTAAATCAGTCTTGGGCATTGTCCAATGGATTGTTAAGCCTCTACAATTACTGAAGGAATATCATTTTCAATGTATGGCTTGGACAACTTGTCAATCATCGGTGAATCTGATGTATGAATAATAAAATTTTTAGAAAGTAAAGCTATGATAGGCGACCAAACAACAAGAAGAATTTTGGTGATCAAGAAATTGTTTGGTTTTCATTTGTTTTTTCATGGCTGTCAACTATAGTATTTTTCTGTGCGGTTATTTTTTAGTCAAACTAGCTTTTAAGTTAAAAACTTTTTTATTTCTACCTGTTTGGTAAAATGCCAAATAAGTTAACTTATAAGTCCTATTTTAAAAACCTGATATACCCCAAGCCATGAAAATACTATAGTATTTTTTATCCAAAAAAACCCAAAGTCATGAAAAAGCTAGCATAACTTATAAGCTTAAAAAAATAAGCATTCCCAAACACCATCTAAACTATCCTAACTAGATATAATATGTATGGCGATTTTAAAATTTTTTTCTCTCACAATTTTCATGTTTTTGTTAAAAATTATGCATTGTGAATATGCGACAGTCTTAAAATTGATAAATCTTGTGTGGTCTGGATTTTATCATGATATAAATGTGGGTGAGACTTGAACCTGGAAATGTGGAGGAGGGAGAAAGAATTCTAATTAAGTGAACCAAGAATAAGTTAGTAATTTAAAAATAGTCATCTTAACTAAAATTGATATTTTCATTCCCCAGGGAAATATTTCCATTACAATAAACCATATGAAGGTCATTTTCTTTAAAATTTTCTCTTTTTATTTTGGTCATAAAATGTCTAAAAAGTTGCAAGTATTATCCATCTCCCACCAAAAAGCTTTGCTCAACTTGCAAATTGAGACGCAAGAGTGCATTGCATACTCTAGGGGTGACTTTTCCAAGAAGCTACGCTTCAGTTGCGGTTGCTGCTCTCCAGCAGAGCTGGCACGCTGGAAGTTGCTTAGAAACCAATTTCCTTCCCATAGTGCCCCTTCTTTCCACTAGAACGTCCAAGATTAGCCTATAAATTCCTTCCTAATCTGCCCCTCCCTTTTCCCAGAATGTTCAAATTCACCAAATATTGCTGTTCCCATCCTTTGTCCTCTCTCGGTAACACTCCACATGCGCCCCTGGATTCTCCTTTGACCCGACGCTACGAAGAGAGGGAAAGAAAACACTACGGCTTTAGGATCCATTGCATCCAACTATAAAAGAGATACGAGGACCCAACGGCATTGCATCGCATCTAACAGTAACAAACCCTTTCCTCTTCCTTGCGTTGCATGGGGAACCGCACATCGTCCAAGGGTTCGAGGGCGATGGCGACGGCAAAGGTGATACACGTGGACGGGACGATGGAGGAGTTCAAGGGCACGGTTAATGCCGGTGAGGTGGCGGCGAGGAGCCCGGGTTGTTTTGTTTGCAGCAGCGAGGCGATGGCGATCGGAGCGAGCGCGCCCTGTGTGCCTGAGACAGAGGAGCTTAAGCTCGGCGAGCTCTACTTCTTGATGCCGGCGTCAAGATTGCGGTATCCTCTTTCGCTTCATGATCTCTGCGTGCTTGCCGTCACGGCCAGCGCTGCGTTGTGTCAAAAGGCGAAGGGGCGAGCGGCAAGATGTAGAATTAATGGATAGAGGGCAATTTTAAGGTTAACGGTTGATGACGTGAATCAATGGGGACAACGTTTTGGTGATTGTCAGCGTCGGTGTCTTGGCTTTGTTCCCTAGCTTTTTCTCGTTTGAGAGGAGGTTAAATATAAACTAAGCTATATATTAATTTCGAGTAGGAATTAGTTCTTACAATGTTAATTGAGCATCCCCTAGAATATGGATGTGGATCCTCTCTGCTGATTTTTCACTTGGATACCCTCGAAGTTTTGATACCCAAACTTTTTGATACCCCAAAGTTTCAATCTTGTTTCACTTTTATACTTCCGCTCATATTTCATTGTCACTAGAAAGGTTCGGCCTCAATGGGAAAATGGAGCACCTAACAACGCATCTTCACAGACCAAGAACTATTGCACATATTATAGCAGTAGTTCAGAAGAATTTGTAAAAGAACAATTTTTTGAAACAGACCCATTTCAATTTTTTTTTTAAAAACCGACCACTTATTTTTATTTATCAAAACCGACCCGATTTTGTGATTAGCAGTTTAATTACCTTCCTAAAAAGTTGGGGTTGCCAACCCCGACTATTTAGGAGGGTGTTAAACCCTAATTAGAAACCTTAAACCCTAAAAATTAATGTCCTAAATAGTTGGGGTTGCCAACCCCGACTGTTTAGGAGCAACCCCGACTGTTTAGGAAGTTAATTAGACTGCTAATCATAAAATCGGGTCGGTTTTGGTAAATAAAAAAATGATCGGTTTAAATGTTTTTTTGAAATGGGTCTGTTTCAAAAAATTGCTTTGTAAAATTACCAAAAAAGATAAACATCGTTAAATTTTTTTGATAGCGAGGAGGACAAGAATATCCTATAACTATTGGCAAGAGGGCAGCCCTTCTCTATTATTAATACATCACGGACGTTACCTTAAAGAGCAGCTACACTCACAACAAAGAACGTGGCAATTTTCTTGTTTCGCACAACTACAAATGCTGATGAAATCCTAAGAATCTAGGGTGAGGGTTTCATCTCTTGTTTGATAGCGGCAGCAAGCTGATCATAGGCCGAAGCCCAAGCGTCGTTCATATCTGGGCCCCACATCTCAGGAACAGCCTCCTTTATTGTGTCCAGTAGTGCAAGCTTCACCCCCTGCATCCACACCCAAAACCAATTCAGACATACAATTATTTTTGAGGTAATTAAGGCTTAACATACAACATAACTTATGATCCTGAAACGCCACAAAATACTCAATACGATTCTTGTATATATACATCAGCTTTGTACCTAAGCCATAAAAGTTTGCATATTTAATTTTGTCATTGATGACTCGTGTTTACTTGTTGTTACAGCAACAATTATGAAATTCTATTCCAAAATTTTAGGATCGGCTATGCACATCCTATTCTTCCATTCAATTCCTTTTAGGATCACCTCCGCTGTTTTTAGTGTTTCGGGAAAACAGCCGAAGTGGTAAATAAGGAGGCCTCACGAGGATTAACTTTAACAGAGTGTGGGTTTATCGATGGTTATGTGATATTTTCAAATGTTTTGGAGGTTAAGTGAAAAAACGTCCAAAATTATGGGGGTTTGGTCAAATTTACCCAAACTTTTACTTAATATATGAGCATGTGTCGATATATGTATCACAAGTTTTAAAGCATGTGTCAATATATGTATCATAAATTTTAAAGAAGTTTTTTTAACACCTCAAAATGTTCATCAGTGACACCATGTTTGTAGTGCGAACCCCCTAGCTTCTTCAGAGTTGTGTCTCTCACCGTCACCACGCCTTCCTCCCTCAATTGCGCTGCCGATTCACAAATCTTCACGCACACAAAAAGCAACAACGATTCAGAAAGAAGGTAGCAAATCAAGAAGAAGAATGACAAGAAACGAGCTTACGCGTATGCACGCACATGTACACGTAAATACGTTAATTACGATAGTTGAAGTATGAGAGCGTACCATAACAAATACAGACAGGGCATGTATTTTGAGCTTGGGGTTGCTCTCAGGGGGAACGTTCGAAGCATCACGCAAGAATGAGAACATATTCGCGGCTGAAGGAGCTCTCTGGTACGACCTTATTATAATATACACAAGCCAAATCATGTTGAGCTAATTTACGGAACTAATACGATCAATTTGCACATAACTCTCTCGTAGTAATAAAAAAACCATAATTATATAAAACTCCACTGGTCACTGCAGAATCTAAGACCATCTCCAACCACCCTCCAAAACTCCAAAATCTCCAAATTTGGAGAGTGGAACCTCTCCAACCACTCTCCAAATTTGGAGATCTCCAAATTTGACCCTCCAAATTTGGAGGGTGGGGAGAAATTTTGGAGGGTCTCTCCATAACCCTATTCATGATGTTTTATTTACAATTTTACCATTTTTAACTATTTGATTTCTTAAAATTTACCACTTTGCCATCCTTCTTAGTAATTTAAATTAGAAGTTTAATTTCAAATAAATATAGTTAAAAAATTATTAATCTAATATTTGAAATCATTATATATTTGGAAAGTATTAGAGGTTAATATTTGCTTTCTTGTTCTATCGATGTATGCTTTCACTGTTATTTCAGAATTTCTTCTTTTATGATATGTTGTATTGCAGTATTAATATTGGGTTCATTTTAAAGCTCTCATCGACACCTTTATAATGTTATAAATTTTTTTTCCCAAATAAATTATTAACAATGAAATTATTAACGTAAACTATATCCAACATTCTTTAATTTATATGGCTTCTTTGACAAAAAAAATAAAAAGAAAAACATTTAGAGGGTGTGGGTTGGAGCAACCCTCCAAATTTTACCCTCCAAATTGGAATATTCCTAGAATATTCTAATTTGGAGGGCCAAATTTGGAGGGTGTGGTTGGAGATGCTCTAATAGAACATAAGAATAGAGTTAAGACCTAGCGAAGAACTTCATTGCCCATTCTGTAGCATTCTTCTTCATTATGTTCCACGAGTTTTGCACAAGGGCTTCTTGCTCTTCAGTGTAAACTATCTTTTTGTCTTGCTCCGACTTGCTCATTTTCCCCCTCTTCCCTCTTGAGGTTTAGTTTATGAGGAATTTTGGTGCCACTGATCAGTTTTTTGTAGCTAATTTATAGATGTTAATGACTTAATTTGAGGAGAGAAATACATAGGAGGACTAGATTGGGCTTGAAGGCTTGATTAGGTGAGGCATTGACATTGTTATCATGTGATTGAATTCCATGGGCAAGACGAGTTTTGGCCAATATAAAAAATTGTTAATTTTCAAAAAATATGTGGTATACATTTATTCAAGAAATAAAACATAAGAGTTGGTCCTCATCAGCTACTATTCTATAAATACTATTCTACGAAGACCAAACAAGGAAATGTCAAAGTTGGAAGTATAGAAGGACGTCGCTAGCCTTCATAATATAGCCGTGAGGCGAAATGCTAGTTACGCAAAAATAGTTCGCCCAACTTGCTCTTAACGTATACTTTCCTAATCTTCTAGATAGCTCTGTCCAACCGGGCCGGCCCAAAAAACCGGTTCTGGGCTGGGCAAAACCCGTGACCCAGACCCGGGTCCGGTTAGCCTGGGCCGGGTCCGGATCCGAGCCCGATCGGTGGGCCAACCCGGTTGTTTTCTTTTTTTTTGTAAAAAATTACTAAAAATTAGATTAATCTTATTATATTTATATACGTATTTATCAATATATACTTACATATTATTATATAGCTATTTATTATATATGCAAATATTATATAAATATATTATATATACTTATAAGTTATAACTTGAGAGAGAGAGAGAATCACATAAATATATATTACTCATTTATAAATACGTATTATATAGTTGTATATGTATTTGTTACATACTTATATTATGCTTATTTAAGTACAGTTATACAGTTTACTTATATGATATACTTTTATATATACTAGATGTAATATACTTATATATAATTATACTTATGCACTTATATATACTTATATAACTTTAATTCTATAATATACAGATATAAGTATACTTATAACTACGATTATATATATATTTATATTCTTATATCTTAGTATCCATATCATGCTAAGTATAATTATAACTACAATATATATATATATATATATATATATATTATATATATATATATATATCAGTGCCTTTCTCCTACTGGAATTAATACGTACGGATTGAGGGCGAAATGAGTGCGTTTTGGGTTTTTTCGCAAAATGCTTCCGCCTGATTGAGGCAATCTCGTGACCAGCTAAGCATTAAAGTGGGGCTCTTTTGCAAAATGGATCCGAAAGCTCAAGCATTAAAATCCCTCTCGTGACCAGCTCAAGCCATTAAAATCCCTAGATCCGCTCCGATCTCCAATCGGACCTCCCCTCCAACCCGACCGACTATCTGCAAAATCACCCCTCTCCAACCGGCCGGAGCTCCCTAGATCCGCCTCACCACCGCCGACAGTGACCCACTGTCCCCAACTCCCTCGAGCACCATCTCGACATTCCCCAACCGCCGTCGAGCCACAAAATTTGACGTCTGAGACCACCGCCGACCGTGACCCACTGTCCCCAACTCCCTCGAGCTCGATCTCAACATCCCCCAACTCAGGTAACCATCAATCCCCAACTTATTAATTGAACTTCAGTTTCCAAATTAACTTATTTCAATTAACTTGAGTTCCAAATACGAGAAACTTGAGTTTTTATGTTCAAGACAGTCTGTAATATTTGTAATGGGATTACTTGCTTGTGATGTTTAAGAAAGGGGATTACTTGCATTATGTACGCCCTGAAGAGGGAAGTCCGTGTTTTAGTAAACAATGGCTTAACTGATGTGGAGCATCAGAAACCATGCAAAGAGCAAGGAGGTACAGAAGGACCGATTCATTCACCTTCAAAGAGCAGCGGAGACTCACTATCGAGCGTTTTTCTTTTTGTTCTGAAAACAATGGGACCTGAAAACAATGGGACCATTATGAGGCGAGCTCCATTTCTCACATCATATTGGTTCAGTTTATCTGCTCATGCATAGACCACTATTATTGTTCGACTTGTGCAGGGATCACTTGCTTCATCCAACCTGGTTCTCTGGCTATATTTCCCTGCCATCACAGCGTGTGCCTCAGCTGCTTTAAGAACAGTATCAAGGTTATGCATTATTTGCAGGGTTTCTAATTCCTGGTGGATCCTAATATACTGGATAAACTTGCGAACACTAGTTGGCCCCCTCTGGTAAATAGCTTATTGTTTTTAGATTCATACTGTTACTTTGTTTCTGTTAAATTTGTAGATTTTAGTAGAATGGCAGCTAAAAGTCTTATTGTAGGGTGATTATGAGAGCGAAAGGTAGAAGCACGTTTCCCTACTTTTTCACCTTCTAAATGGTCCCAGGTTTGGAGGAATGCTCTACTGATTCTATATAGGTCTAACTGATGTCTTTCTCTGAATAATGGTTGAGGGAATGATTTATTCTAAGTTTAGGTTTCTCAATTACATCTTTGTGATCGGCCATCAACTCCTCAGGTCGTTGGCGCACTAATCCCCTGCCAAACTGTATCATAAAATCAACCAATGAATTATTCTTCGAAACAAATTTCTTAAAGAATGCATGTCCACTTTCTGCTCGTTGACTACTTGACATGTCTGCTGAGAAAATGTGATTAACATATGCAGGAATCCATCTTGACCGAAGTTCATATTGGTCTTGCAACCACTTGTTTCCTTCTAACCCACTTTTCTTAATCAGACTTTCCCATTGTGAATCAAATTCTTCAGGAGTCTCTGATTTCCAAATGCAAGCCGAGAACTCACTTTTATAAATACTATACTTCACTGCATCAATTTTCTCAGAAAACTTCATTAATATATGCCAACTACAATACCTGTCAAAAGAATTAAATAAAGTGTTAAAAAGAAAGGCTATGTATATAAACATCTTCAATAATATATACAAACTATAATACCTATGAAAAGTATTTGGAAGAACAAGAGGGAATGCCTTAGTCATAGCTGGGTCTTGATCGGTAATAATCATCTTCGGGGCACCACCAGGCATACTTTCCAAAATTTTTTTAAATAACCATACAAAATCATCAACGCTCTCATGATTCAAAAATCCACAAGCAAAAACAATTGTTTGACCATGATTGTTAACCCCCATTGTTGGTGCAAATATAAGGCCATAGCGATTAGTGTTATAAGTAGTATCAAAGATTACAACATCACCGAAAAAATTGTAAGCCCGTCTTGATCTTGCATCGGACCAAAAACAACGAGTAATCTTTTGTTCCTCATCGGCCTCAATTTGAAAAGTAAATGAGGGATTCTTTCCTTGTTCCAATTTTAAATACTCATAAAACATTTCTCCATCATGCCCCTTCATATCAGCACGTATATCCCTTTCATGATTATACAAATCTCTTTGCGTGCACCCAATATTTTCTATACCTCCAGATTGTACTCCAAGAAAACTAAATTGTTGATGCTGAGGTATATTCGCCAAGGAGAGCTGTTTAGTTAAAGATTTTGTTGTAGCTGAAACGTTACGATGGGACCTCAAAAGATGAACCTTTGATGGTGTTGATAGCGGGTGACTGTGCTCCTCATTAAAAACAGTAACAATGTATTTTCCGGAGCTTGATTTTAAAACTGCAATTTTAGCAGTACAATCCTCAGCTAAGCTTCCTCGACGTCTTTTCTTTCCAACATCCGCGATTTGTAGAGATTTTCCTTGTTTAAAACAAACATACTCCTTCCTTCTTATTTCACAACTTCCCGGCTCTTTCTGAGTACTCCAAGACCTTACACTAAACCCAGCTGCTTTAGCATAAGCATTATAGAATGTCACAACATCATCTATTGTGTCAAATTCTTGCCCCTTTTTTGGCCTCAACTCATCTGATACTTGAGGAGTATATATCAAATCATCGTCGTCCAAGTTTACTTCATTAGCTTCAATGCTCAAGTTTTCCATTTATCACAAAAATTGTAATTGACCTATAAAAAAATGGAGGCAATCTGAAATAGAAAATAATATGGGGGAAAAAGACTTAATTTTCGACATTAGTACCTAGCACAAAACTGATCGCATAAAAATGAAACCCCCCCAGAACTATATAAATGTGAGTTGGGGCTTGAAGGTTATCAGAGTCTTAAAGAATCAAGCCTAGGATTAAGTCTTCTGTGATATTTGTTTATATACAGCTAATCATACAATAAAAATTTAAATAAGTCATAACAATTTAAATAAGTCTTAAAGAATCAAACCTAGGATTAAGTCCTCTGTGATATTTGCATCAGGAAGCCATTTGAGAGGAGGTGTAATATTAAGTACATTAGAAATAAGTCATAACAATTTAAATATTTATTGAATAATTTGAATAAATAGATATTATCTAATGCTACAACTGTCGAACGAACTGCAGAAACTCAAACCATACAATACATCAATTTGGTATAAATCAGCACATCATCAAAGCCCACAATAATTTTGCACCATATTTTTTTTTGGCGGTGTTCGGGGGGTTACTCACACGACTGGACCACCATTTGCTCGAAAATAGGTAAACAAATTTGGGGATAAATGGTTACCTGAGTTGGGGGATGTTGAGATCGAGCTCGAGGGAGTTGGGGACAGTGGGTCACGGTCGGCGGTGGTCTCAGACGTCAAATTTTGTGGCTCGACGGCGGTTGGGGAATGTCGAGATGGTGCTCGAGGGAGTTGGGGACAGTGGGTCACTGTCGGCGGTGGTGAGGCGGATCTAGGGAGCTCCGGCCGGTTGGAGAGGGGTGATTTGAGATATCGTCGGCGTTGGAGGGGAGGTCCGATTGGAGATGGAGCGGATCTAGGGATTTTAATGCTTGAGCTGGTCACGAGAGGGATTTTAATGCTTGAGCTTTCGGATCCATTTTGCAAAAGAGCCCCCACTTTTAATGCTTGAGCTGGTCACGAGATTCGCCTCAATCAGCGGAAGCATTATGGACACCTTTACTTCCAGATGACATGAACTAATACTTAGTCCCAAGTACTCTGGGATTGAGGCAGCATAGAAACAAATAAACTCTAGGCCATGTTTGTTTTTTGAATAGTAGACTCATCTCTTTAATCTATGTTTATTTTTTAATCCGGACTTGACTATTTTAAAGTAGACATTACATAATACTCCACGAAGGAACTAAACTCAACCCACCTACCACTACCTTTATAATCTAGGTATTAATTATTTAGGGGATTAGAATATTTATGATGAAAAGGCCTATCCTCTTCTGATCTTTTTCTGTGTCACGTCTTTTTTGTTTACCAAATCATTTCCCCAGACAAATTTTTCACATAATTTTTAGCGGGGGCGTGTAGGGGTCGGCGTGAGCTGGGGCGGTTTAGTCCCGTGACCCGACAACCAGGCCGGGTCTAACCGTCTAATCCAAGTCCTCATGGGTCAGAGCAAGCCGGACTTGCTTCTTTGATCTCGGATTTGGATTGGACTTAAGCTGGCCCACGACCCGCCTAGAAGAGAGCCCGACCTGCCCGACCCGCAACCCATAGGTCGTAGTTCAACCCATTCGTTTTTTTTCGACATTTTTCTTTTTTTTTCCATTTCTAAACTATGTTCTCTTTGTATTCGTATTTGTAAAATTATATTTAATTTATTTTTTTCAATTTTAAAATCTTTATACATACACACACACATCATACAGAAAAACATCACAAACAAAAAATATATGTAATTTGAACTTTAAAGGAATGCTTGACTCTCCATTTATGTTTTGCTAAACAAAGTAAATATTTATAATTAAACCCGAGGGGTGGGCCTGGCAGGGTCGAGGCTGGCCATTGGTTAGTTGACCTACTTCTTTGATCCCGGGTCTAATCAAAGCCTAGCCCGACCCATGAACCACCACCAATGTGGTCTGGATTGGACCCGGGCCGGTGTGGGGTCGGCCGAGCTGGGTTTAATTTTTAAGATCTTTATGCATATACACACGTACATCATACAGAAAAACATCACAAACAAAAAATATACGTAATTTGGACTTTATAGGAATGCTTGACTCTCCATTTATGTTTTGCTAAACAAAGTAAATATTGGGTGGGCCTGTCAGGGCCAAGGCTGGCCATTGGTTGGTCGACCTACTTCTTTGATCCCGGGTCTAATCAAAGCCTAGCCCGACCCATGAACCACCACCAATGTGGCTCGGATTGGACCCGGGCCAGTGTGGGATAGATTTAAACTGGGCTGGACCGGTTTGGTCCGCGGTTCGAATCGGTCCATGCCCAACCCTATGGGCGTGGACAGGACTAGCAGCTACTTCCAGTTGAGTTTGAATTACATTGAACCAACATTTGATTGAATAACAGTCAAGTATTAACAAAAGTTGCTAGCATGTACGTTAACTGTTCGACATACATACCGCTAATTGACTATGAATTGATTGGCAGCCAGCAACTACACCAACGTGCAGTGTAAAGTAAGAGAGATTTCACCATTTGATCTAGAGGCTTATGTATGATCTAATGCTGACCATGCTCGGTAATGGAGCTATATGATATTTTATGACACAAATAAATATTAATTAAGGAGTTGTGTATTCATGAATAAATGGGCATGATAATAAATCAAATAGATGAGATTGCTTAACATTATGTTTGGATGGGGGTGAATGAGAGACAGGGGAAGGAAAGGTAAGAATTAACCTTGTTTGAAAGTTTTTTAAGTGAGGTAAGGGAAAGGAGTGAAGGGTAACTAAAGTTACAAGTTCCCCTCAAATTGGGACTTTTCTTTCCCCCTCAATTTGGGGGTAGCCAAAGGGAAGGAATTGGCTTCCCAAACAAAGCGAAAATAACTTATGCAAGTGCATTTTAGACATGATCATACCTAGCTTTTTAAATTTTCTCCAAATAGATGCATTAATATAATATTAGTTGATTTGAGGGTAAAAGGTGCAATCAATTTGTAATACTAGTCTAAATGGTCATAATCATCATAAAAACAAACACCATTGTGGACTATTTTCAGTTAGACCAAAAATTAGTCCGTGCAAAAATAAACATTAATCCATGACAATACAGTACAAGTACAATATAGTCCATAAAATACAATATCCCTTAATCTAGGGACAAAAAACAAACATGGCCTACAGGATATCTATTCTTTTATACAAATGGGAGAAACAAAGAGTCACCGTTCATGCTACAGTAGATTTACTGTAGCAGTATTACTGTAGCAGCTGAGAAATTTAAAAGCCACTGTAACAGATCGGTGACTGTAGCAGCTCGGGAACGGCACTGTAGCAGGCGAGTTACTGTAGCACCACAGAAAATTCAAACCGGGAGAGTTTAAAAACGGCGGGAACACTGTAGCAAAAAAAAAAAAAACACCGTGCACTGTAGTAAAAAAAAAAAAAACACCGTGCTGCGCACGGGCTACACACTAGTAATAGTGTAAGATAAGATGCCAAGTTGCTATTCAAAATGGGCTCGGTGCGCGCATGAGGGTTTTCTAAATTAATTAACCCATCTTCCCATCTTTTCGGCACTTCGTAGGATCACTCTGAAAGCCAGAGGTTCGTTTGTTTTTTTCCCCAGCTTAAATGGTTTAGGATAGGATTACCATCTTGACTGTCCATTTGGCCTGTATCATTTAGTACATTTACTTAAAGAGGCTAGTTTTTTCGGTAACATGGGTCATACTCTAACTTCTAGAAGTTTGAAAATGCCTTTAAGACGTGTAGTATTTCAAGAAAGTGAATGTGACAGGCAAACTTGGGTAAACAAACCAATAAAAATCCTAACGAACTCCCCTAACAAACGCCTCAGCCATAGATGAATGAAACATAGCAGAAGTCTTCGGATTATAAAATTTTCAGAAAGGTAGCCATCATTAAGAGACTATTATAGGTATTAACAGAAGAAGAACGGACCTTGGACAGGCGGCGTGGATCTCACCTGCGGGCTTCGACGAGGAGCTCGCCTGAGCTCGTGGCCAGGCGAGGGGGAGCTCTCGCCTGCGTGCTGATGTCGGGTGGCGAGGCGCTAGCCTGATGGACCCGTTTCGAGCTCGCCCGTGGATGGGAACCAGCTGGCTTCAGCTGGAGCCGCCCTAGGGTTTCCCTATAAAATGGAAACCCCTTTCACGATCTCAGATTAAGCGGAACTAAGAGGCGGCAACTATGAGATTTGGGGAAATTTGAGCAGTGTTTTTAGATTAAAAACCACTTCTTGTTGTTTTGAGAGATCTCAAGTTTGAGATCTTCTCTTTGAAAGTTTGTAATTTCTCGTGATTAAATAATTTAAATAAGAAATTATTTGTGTCGCTCCCGTGGACGTAGGTAAATTGCCGAACCACGTAAAATATATGTGTTTGTGATTGGCTTGTCATATTTGTTTGGATTGTGACCGTGTTAGGTTTATTTCTCTTCTCCCGTAGCTTACAGACTCGTTCGATGTGCGAGCACACTTCCGCAAAGGCGCGCAGCATTAACAAAAAGAAAACCAGATAATAAACCTCTCTATTAGTAGTATATGATAACACCACATTAAACAACAGATGTATACTTTCACAATAAAGAAGTAACGCACATAAACAAAAGACAAATGCTGATGGAATCCTAAGATGAGGGTTTCATCTCTTGTTTGATAGCACCAGCAAGCTGATCATAAGCCAATGTCCAAGCATTATTCATCTCTGGGCCCCACATCTCGGGGACAGCCTCCTTTATTGTGTCCAAAAGTGCGAACCTCACCACCTGCATCCACCCAAAAAAGTAAACGCCAGCCATCTTGTTTATCCTCAACCATACATATGTTTATGATTAGAGTACCATGCATCATATGCTCCGTTCCAAAATATGATCTTGGATTTTACATCACAAGTCAACTATGTACCTAAGTAATAAGGTGTTACATATTGCAACTTTATCATTTTTGCCATTATAGCGTGTTCGGTTATTGTTGCAACAACTACAAATTTTACTCGCAAATTTTTAATTAAAATTAACCACATGAATTCTATTCTTCCATTCAATATGTTTATGTTTATCTCACTATATATTTCTTAATTGTTACTAGCTAAATTCTCTTAAATCCACCCTTTTGAAAGAAAGAACGGATTCATAGTTTAATCCACTTTCACAATTATAATTCAATTAAACTACCATGATTTCTTATCTCTTATAGTAAACAGCTATAAGCTTCTAACCTTTAAGCATGCTGAAAAACCGAGATTAATTTTTCCCCTCCTCCACAGCTTAAATACAGCCCTACGCTTTTAAAGAGCTAATAAAAGACGGTAGAAATTAACTTCATTTTAGTTTTACCATAATTCATAATGGCCTATTGCAAACAATAATAATAAAATTGTATGTATGATAGTAACGGAATTCAGCTGGTGTCATTATATCTAGTGTAAAGTATAAAATATAAACTTTTAGTTTTTGATTTTGCACCTCAAAATGTTCATCAACCACCCCACTCTTGTTGTGAGAAGCCCCCAACTTTTTCAGTGTTGTGTCCCTCACTGTCACCGTACCTGCCTTCCTCAATTGAGCCGCCGATTCACAAGTCTTCATGTAAAAGAAAAAAAAAATTTAGCAAACGAGAAAATGAGCAAATTAGATACATATATGCAGAGGGAGAGAGAAAGAAGTTAGCATTTAGGAGAATGTACCATAACAAATACAGTCATAGCATGTTTTTTGAGCTTCGGGTTATTTTCAAGGGGAACGTTCGAGTCTTCACGCAAGAATGAGAACAAATTCGCAGCTGAAGGAGCAATCTCGAATACCCTGTGCAATACAATCGTTAAAGCTAATATTTAACAAATTATATATGTCTACATATGTGTGTGTGTGTGTGTGTTTTTGTAGATATTATTGTTCTTTTGATCCCTAAAAAAAGATTATTGTTCTCTTAGCAATCTTTGAGATGTATTTAGTTCGCAAATGTCGTGATCAAAATCTGGTGTAACATCGGTTATCTGCATAATAGTTTATAAATAGGAATGAATAGAGTGAGACCTCAAGAAGAATTTCATTGACAACGCAGCAGCATCCTTCTTCATTGCATTCCAAGATTTGACCACAAGCACTTCTTGCTCTTCGCTGAATGCTATCTTTTCTTTTCCTGAACCCATCTCTGAGTTCTTTTGGTCGAGTTTTAATGAGGAAGTTTCAGATACTGATTAATGAGTTCTTATTGCTAACAAATGTCAATGAGCCTGAGAGCGCATAAATAGGGGAATTAGAACTGGCCCTTGGAAGCTTGAGAAAGCCATTGAATTTTTACGTACTCTATTTAAAATAATAATAATAATAGTTGAACTCAAATGGGCTAGCTCTGCTATTGAGCTAAAAAGACAGGTGATGGTGGTTCGCCCAAAAACTACGGGCAGTTTTCTGCGGCGAGCCGCGACTTGTCTTTAGACTCTGTGCGTCGGTCCAATAACTTTAGAGAGATCACGCTAGAGTCGTGGAGCATTCGAAAACCACAGAGATATTTTATTTTATTTTTTATAAAATAAAATTGGGTTTGGTCTCTCTTCACCGTAGAAAAAGAAGTACAAAACAAAATTGGGATAAATACAGGAAATCTAAACTTAGACTTAAAAGCTAGTTTTAGCTACGTGTAGTTCGCCTTTCAAGCTCTTTTGATTCTCACTATTGTGGTTATGATTTTTGTGACTAGTGTTACCGCAGACATGCTATATATATTTCAGTAAGATTTGTTTCATTATATTCCCAGAAACGCGTATAGACTATATTTCAATTTTTAATTCAAATGATAAGACGTTTTATCGGTTAAGCTGTCATAAAATCTGACTTTATTTCCATAATTCCACAATAATGAAGATGCTGTTGTACATCATCTTAGGGCCTTAGGCTATAATACTCATTTCATGATCTAAATTTCCTTGGCTCCTAACATATATACAACTAATGTATAAATCAAAAAATTTAATAACAAATTGTGCCTTTGTCAACTAACTGCAATGACAACTACTTGGGCTACATCTGTCACTTAAAAAATTCAGGAACTTTCAGAATCATCAAATCACAAGTGTACTGGCTGTTGAGCTAAATGCTGCTTAAAATATCTCATGCATTTCACAACGTACAACAAAATACTCCCAATTAAGATAACAATTGTGACAGAGTTGATCGCTTCCCGGTAAAATTAACATCATATAAGCAATTGAACAAGATTCGATTATTCACACCATAATTACACCAAAAATTAGCAAACCACTCGGATGATCTACATAAAATACAGTGAAGTAGTCAGCCTTTATATGCTAATTACCAGCTCATTTTGTACAAAACAAAAGTTAAAAACCAAAAGAATAATCGGTAACTTATCTCCTACTCCCCCCAATCTATTGGAAACAGTTATGATCGTCTATATCATCATAGTATCTGAGGACTTGCCAAATCTCTTGAGAGCAAATATCGGAATGTGAAATTATAGGGAACCCACTCAATAATTTTGTGAGATTTCCCTTGTTGACATCTCTTTATGGCCATTTTCAGAGTCTCAGGGAGATGGCGCTTGATCATGTCCGGGATTCCTTGAGAACTCAGGTTTATGTCCTTCGAATAAGAGTCTACGATTTTTGGCAGGAGGATTTTGTCTTCGTTTTTTATACCGACGGTTGCACGAATGTATTCTACCTTTGCTGTTTCCAGTTGTTGGAACACTCTCTTACATGAATATACACGGACCTGGAAATATTAAAAAGAAGAACAAGTTTCAGTGATCAAACCATGAAGGGTTATAAACATATGACGTGTGCTCAATTGTAATACAACCATATGCAAATATGTAAAAGATTTATACGCATAACATGTAAAAAATTGCTTCCGTTGAACAATTTTTTCAAAAAACTTAAAAACGGGCTTTTGTAACTGTGTTTTTGCATGAAAAATGCGCAAGACAGCTTACCGCAGGATCAGAATGGCTCCCTGAACAAAGAGCAAAGTGCAGGAGAGGCTCTGCGCGCTCGATGGCGTGGGCTCTCCATTCACCTCCTACCTTCAGGCTCATCCTTGGGGAAAGTAAGGATCGAAACCACTGCATTCAAAGAGAGAACTCATTACACTTCACAAGCAAGTTTCCCCCCCTAATTATACAGTTCAAAGATCATGACTACGGTGGGGGGAGAGATTCTCCGTGGTGCAGTTTAACTAATAGGCTAGCATTGTTAATCTAATCGAAATGTTATTTGCCATGTGAACAGAGCATATCAATCGAACTTAAAGCTATACGATACTTTGAAGATTTTCAAGTATTGGGTGCCATGAGATGACTTGCATAAGAATATTACTGAAGAAAGAGAGCATGCCAAGTTTTATAACTATTCGGAACATAATCCTTAGCAAAAAATTATCTACAACATGGAGAATATTTGGGGAATACCTGACTAGGACAATGTGTACGGCATCCAAGAATATAACACTGTATAGTATATGCACTTATTGATCGGCCACCTATGACGCATGATGCCTGGAGGAATAAAAGTAAACTATTAGGTGAAGATTCCTAAATCCTTTGCTCTAAGTTCCTTGTCATAATTAAATATGATTTTAAAATAACAGTACCCGAATGAGTAAGGATGACTTTTTTGCATTCTTCTGTGGAACACCATAAACTAAATGTTCCTGCAAAAAGAAAAGTAAACAGGTTTTACTTCATCAAGGATGAGAGAAATGTAGGAGAGATGTCAAGGAAACAAAGTGTTTACATGCATCATCAAAGAATTGTGTATGTTGATCCAAAAAGCAATCTTTTCCTCATTCTTCATCTTTCTCGGATCAACTGTTTCCAATCTGTGAACAAGTGACCTGAAACACAAAAGGTTGGTTATAATAATTACGAATAGACTTTCATGCGAATTATCATGTGGATATATGGACTAACTTATAACTCTGCAGCAGGCCTTCAACTTCACTCAATTTCTGAGTGTCTGTGAAAATTGAGGGCACTTCCACCATTGCATTATAGGGTCCACTGAACTCTTTTATTCCTTCCACCCGAAACGGATTTATTAACCGTGAATCAAGAGTGGATTCTTTTGTACAACTAGGACTCCACATATCTCCGAGGTACTGAGGAGAGAGAGCACTCATTGATGAGAAGGATGAAGTCGGAGAAGATGGGATACAATACTGAATAAGTGGAGGGTCCGCAAGCTTGCAATATATGGAACCCATGCACCGAACCATATCTTCAGAAATTCTATTGGGTGTATCAGGTATGTGATCGGCAATATTGGTACCAAGATATTCTGCTAAGCTTATCACCCCTGAAGTAGAACAATGTCCATCCTATGCACAAAGAAATAGTGAAGAAAACCATATTAGATGCAATAGGAGTATGTATGAGTTCTATGCAAAGATTCTAGATGTGACTGTTTGTTTGACCTTTAATAATATATTGACCGATTTGTTAAGAGTATAAAAATATGACTCTCAATGCGCACAACTTTGCTGTTTTGATACAGGGAAGACAAGATGGAAATAAAACAACCCAGGTTAAATCTCACCAAACAAACATTTAAACCAGACTTAAAAAAATGATTTTGTCATATTAAAGCAATAAATCTTTGTTAATTCTATATTAGACCCAAATCCATTAATCTTTCTTTCAACAAGGTCCCCAAAATCTACCAACTTGTTTTAAATAAGAGCCTTATGTCTTCTAAGTTGTTTTAAATATAAGACCCCCATTCCAAACAAACAGTAATATTGTTGGGGTCTAGGAATATGAACATCTGAGGGTTAATATCGACTTAACAAAAGTTTGGAAGTCTGATATGACAAAAACCACAAAAAATACCACCACACACAATACTCTAGGTTTCAACCCATGAAAAGGGTGATTCAACAAGCGTTATCATGTACAAGGGATTTTAAGAATATTAATCTAAGGTATGAATAGTAGCTTTTGATGATCAAAAAGGTCAAAATGCATAAGAAGAGACAATACCTCAATAAAATTCAAGGGTTGAGAGTGGCATGTTTGAAGAGCTCTAGCTAAGCTGTCTTCTGAAGGTGATATTCTAGCTGAGTAAACTGCACGATGAGACAAAGCAGACTGGCAACGGTGAACCCCAGGGCCTGTTAGTTTTTCTGAGCAAGGATCGTCTACTTGTTCTACGACTGGTTTTCGAAGCTTTGGCATCTGACTCAACTTAGCTCTATCTGATGAGGTGTCAATATTTGAATCCTCGTGAAATAGCTTCCTTTGTAGGGAAGTTGGCGGACATCTCGCTTTCTCTTTAGGAGTGGTAGGAGATAAAGTAGATATTTGTTGGTCAAAAGCTCTTCGGTAGAGCGATAGTAGATACTGTTCTAGATACACCACCTCGACCTCTAACACTGCAATCTCCTTTATCAGCTCTTTGGTAGGCTAAAACGATGAGAATAATGTCAATAACCAATTTGATATTTGGATAGCGTCTTTTTCCAAGACATACGTATACTTGGTAAGTCATATAAAAATGAATCAAGTTAGTTCTTTGATTAAAATCATGCAGGTCTCACAAACTAAATTCATAAGACCACAATCATTGTCGATGGAAGAAGTAATTAGTAGTACCTTGGGCATAAAACTATCGTAAGAATCAATGCCAGAAGGCCTGTTATATCCCAATGCTTTCTCTAAAGCACCACGAACCTCCATTTGATCCTTTAGCCGTCTCTCAAGTTGCAATATCTGGAGAGTGACAATACAAGGTAGTAATCAGCAAGTCTCATGGACTGCTACTTAATCACAAGGTTGATTTTGGAACATATAAGCAAAATGTGTATACTTCTGTATTTTCTGGTTAACATAATGAAATACGTCTGTAGACCGAGCATGATAAATCCTCATAAGGCATGAGACAATCACAGGGTTACTGCCTCTAATTTGGAACTTTTAACCGTCATGTCAAGCATAAGAGAGAAAGTCTCTGTTTACATACATTTATGTGTCTAAGAGCTTGTGTCTAATTTTTCTTTCTGGAGGTGTGTTATAATGTGATACAGATAGCAAAAGGAAAATTACCATGAAATGGCTAAAAAAAAAAGGGTTGCATTGAATATGCTAAGAACTTGGAGTTGATAGCCCAATAAATGATAATTAACTACAGGTGTCTACTTCTCTCACTAAAATTTACCCACTGTCTCTACCGAGACAATAATAGGACAAAATTAAGGGAAAAAACCCATCGGAATATAGTCATTAAGTCTGAGAATTTCATACAAGATCATACTTGCTGCACATCATGGGTATTTCTTCACTAGCCAAAAGATGGAAACTAATACTGAAAAGAAACTACATATAATTAATAATTTTACCAGGCATAGTGATCTCCCAAGAACTTATCCATTACAAAAGAAAAAGGGTTCAGTTGAGAGCCAAATACCTCCTGATTCAAAGAGCTTTGGACCACAGTAATGGGGTCTGGTTTCCTTTTGACATCAGGGTTACCCTTGGCTTTGCCCAGGTCCTGGCAAAGAATTCAAGAGCAGAATCAGTATTTTTTCCTCATTCCTTTTTTGTCCAACAAGAAAACAGAGGTGCATTTATTACCGCTTCACAAAATCTTTAATTACGACACAAATCCAATCATTAACAAATCAGAGATGTGAAAACAATGGACAATAATAAATGCTCAACCTCCGACTCTAAGAACATGAAACAAGAGTAATACCAAGTTAAGACGCCGAAAAGATTCAGAAGGACCCAAGATCTCCTCCTTCATTTTCTTCACAGAATCACTGCACAACAACACGTTCCTCTTACAATTCTCTCACAAAGATATTCAAAAGAGAACAGATAAAGAAACAAAGAAACAAAGAACAGATCTTTACCTTTTAGAGCGCTTATGCCTTGAAGACATTAATTCCTTCGACTCCATTTCTTGCAGCGGGACAAATATTGGCTCACTTCAAAACCTCTTTCATATAATAAGCTACAAGAACAACACTCTACTCAAAAACCATTTTCATCAGTAAAAACTCGAAAGACTCTCATGTGCAAGTGAAGATGGAGTAACACCACCAAAAATGGGTAGGTGAAGAGGCTAACCAAAGTCAACAAAAACCCACCCACTAGTCCAAAAGTCCTAATGGGTATGCGGGTATTGAGATATCTCCCTCTACCTCCATCACAATTATTGACATTGGTGCCAATATTTCAACTGCTAACAAATAAATGGACTTCTGAGTTGTTAATGTTATATAGCATTTTGACATTGACATCTATCTCATTGGACAATGTGCTAAGCCCTCTCTCTCGTTCTGCATCAAGTTAAGTCTGTTAAGATAACAAATAGCATTAAGCTTAAAATGTTGAGCAATGGACAGTGAGCTAGGGGACTTAGCATTAAAGACAAAAAGAGTTTTGTCCAGGGAATGTTAGAGCTTTTTAAAGGCTTAAAAATCAAAAACAGCCCTCAAAAGGGACGAAAGTGAAGGATAAAAGGAGGGAATGGGTAGTTCAAGGAAGCTGGGACTATTTGGACTTTGCCTCTTGTACTTTGTATTAATAAAGAATTAATCCTCAAAAGAAATACAGAGAGAGGGTCCAGGATACCTCCTATTGTCTTGTATATGGAAGGGACTAATGTTTGTCAAAGAATCCATAATTTAAGCTTGAGTTGGATATGGGTTGGCCTTTTACTGTACCACACACACTTGTGATTAAAAAGCTTTGCCTTTTTAAAGCGGAGGACCTATTGGATTGTGGGGTGGGTAGTCTGTAGAGGTCCTTTGAGTGCGTAGCTCTTTTTTTTTCTGTGTTCTTGTTGAGCAAATAGCTTTTTCTCTGGGTAGTATGTATTTTTCCAGGGTTATTTTCAATTAGTCCCTCAAATAATCGATTTGATAATTTTATATTGGTCCCTCAATCTTTCATAATTTCATAGTATTAGTCCCTTAAATCTTTGTTATTACTAGTACGCCCCTCAAATCATACACCTTGTTCAGACGGAGGTTAATGGATGGATGGATGGATGTTAGAGTGAAATTTCAATTTCACCTTGTTTGGGAGTTTTCTTGAGGGGTTAGAGGATGGAATAGAAGGTTAAATTTCCTTCTATTTTCTCCCCTCCAATTTGGGGGGTAGGTAATGGAATAGAAGTTGGCGTAAAAATTTACAACGTGATAAGACAATTATACGCTTATGACATTAAAATCAATGGCTAAGATATACTCACATCCAATATGTAAGGGTATTTATGTAACTTTATACATATTCACTTCACTTCCCTCCTCTTTATTAGAACTCCAAAACAAGGTAAAACAAATTTACTTCCGTTCCCCTTACTAAAACTCTCAAACAACATTTTATCTTTTCACTTCCATTTCATATCTTTCCTTTCCATTATTTAACTTTCCGTCCATTCCCTTAGTAAACTCCCAAACAAAGAAATAAGGACTCTGACAATTTGGTCCCTTAATTATCAAAATACTTCTTAGTTTGTGTTTTTGTGAAAGCAGAGGCCGAGGGGGTGGGGGCCGGACATAAAGTGAGGGAATTTTGGCAATTGAGAGACCAATTTATATGTGTTACTAGTTCAGGATCTGACATGAGATAGCTGGAAAATGAGACTACACCAGCTTTTTCTTTAGCATATTACGCTAAGAAACGGCTAACTTTTATCGCATGAATCAAATTTCATTTCTGGTTTTGTGCTTGTGTAGGAAGCGTCCAAAGACAAAGGTATTATCAGCTTGCATGCTCTTACAAGTTTGCTTACACACTTAGTTAAGAAAAGA